TGTAAGGGGAAAAAAAAAAAACAAAAGAAATAAGCCAGACTCCAAAGGAGGACAAATGTTGTATGATTACACTTGTATGCAGTACCTAGTATAGGTAAATTCATAGAGACAGAAAGTGAATACAAGGGGCTGGGGAATAAGGGGAAGGGAGCGCTATTATTTAATGGGTACAGAGTTTTTGCTGGGAGGATGGCAAAGTTTTAGACCATGGATAGTGGTAGTTATGTAGCAGAGTGAATGTCTTTAATGCCAAAGAATTGCATACTTACTAATAGTAAAAATAATAAACAAAATGTGTATTTTACCATGATTAAAAAAATGCCTAAGTAGGCTTGGCACCTGTGGCTCAGTGGTTAGGGTACCAGCCACATACACTGGAGCTGGGTTCAAACCCTGCCCCAGCCTGTCAAACAATAATGACAGTTATAACAAAAATATAGTCAGGCGTTGTAGGGCAACATAGTGAGACTCTGTCTCAAAAAAAAAAAAAAGACTAAGTACTGTGCTACAGGCTTTATAGCTTTTAATTCATTTAGTGAATAAGATCAGTAAAAGGAAAGAATAGATGTTACTTCTGCTTCTAGTTTGGCTGCTGCTCTTGATTCTCCAATCTCTTCGTAAGTACAATTTCTTGGTTACAAGTGTATCTATGGTTTTTTGTTATTTTGTTTGAGACAGTCTTACAAGGTCACCCTGGGTAAAAGGGCATGACATCACAGCTCATAGCAACCTCAAACTCTTGGGCTTAAGCAATCTCTTGTCTCAGCTTCCCAAGTAGCTGGGACTACAGGTGCCCACCACAATGCCCGGCTGTTTATTTATTTATTTTTTGTTTAGAATTGTCATTGTTTAGCTGGACCAGGCGAGGCTCAAACCGGCCAGCCTTGGTATGTGGCTGGCACCCTACTCACTGAGCTGTGAGCACCAAGCCTTTTTTTGAGACAGACAAAACTTTGTTGCCCCTAGTAGAGTGCCGGGGCAACCTTAGATTCTTTGGCTCCAGCGATTCTCTTGTCTCAGTCCCTCTTGAGTAGCTGGGACTACAGGCACCTGCCAAAACGTGGGATTTTTTTTTGTTTTTATTTTTTTTAGAGAGGATCTTGCTCAGACTCATCTCCATTTGGCCTCCCAGAGTGCTGGGATTACAGGTGTGAGCTACCACACCGGGGCCATCTTTTTGTTTGTTTGTTTCTTTTTGGAGACAGAGTCTCACTCTCTTGACTAGTCTAGAGTGCCATGGTGCTAGCCAAGCTCACAGAGACTTCAGCCTCCTGGGTTCAAGTGAGTTTCCTGCCTCAGCCTCTCAAGTAGCTGGGACTATAGGTATATGCCACCACACCCAGCTAATTTTTTTTATTTCTGGTAGAGACAGGGTCTCACTCTTGCTCAGGCTGGTCTCAAACTCCTGAGCTCAAAAGATCCTCATGCCTTTGCCTCCCAGGGTGCTAGGAATTCCAATGTGAGCCACTGCACCCAGCTTTATCATGTGTTGTAAACACCTGAATATATCCCCTATAAGGCACAGTTGAGGTCTACTCAGTAGGAGAATAAGGAGTTTTCTGTGGAGGGCAAAGCACTGAGTTAGTTATGATACAAATGGACTCGTCTGCATAGCATTTTCCTCCCTACCTCTTCTAGCTTAATTTTGGGAATGACCTGAAATATTGTTGATCTAGAGCAATGATTCTCAAAATGTATTCTCCAGACCAGTAACATCAGCATCCCCTGGGAACTTATCAAAAATGCAAATTTTCAGGTCCAACCCTAGACTACTGAATGAGAAACTCTGGAGATGAAATCTAATAATTTGTACTTTTTTTTTTGGCAGTTTTTGGCCAGGGCTGGGTTTGAATCTGCCACCTCTGGCATATGGGGCCGGCGCCCTACTCCTTTGAGCCACAGGCGCTGGCCCAATAATTTGTATTATAACAAATCTCTGAATGCATTCTTAAAATTTGAGAATTAGTGTTCCAGACAATATATAGGGTGTTGTGGTGGTGGTCAAGAAGCCCTTGAGAAGTAAGTTTAGACATTGAGGAGGGGAAGTCCTGGATTTACAAGTTGGCTTTGGAACTTTATTTTTTAATTTTTAATTTTTTAGTTTTTGGCCGGGGCTGGGTTTGAACCTGCCACCTCTGGTATATGGGGCCAGTGCCCCACTCCTTTGAGCCACAGGTGCTGCCCTATTTTTTATTTTTGTTATTCTTTAGAGACAGAGTCATACTTTGTCACCCTTGGTAGAGTGCTGTGGCATCATAGCTCACAGCAACCTCAAACTCCTGGGCTTAAGTGATTCTCTTGCCTCAGCCTCTGTAATAGCTGGGACTACAGGTGCCTGCCACAACACCTGGCTATTTTTCAGAGACAGGGTCTCGCTCTGGCTCAGGCTGGTCTCAAACCTGTGAGCTCAGGCAATCCACCCGCCTTGACCTCCCAAGTGCTGGGATTACAAGCGTGAGCCACCGGCCTGGCTCTGGATCTTTAGGTATAAGAGCTAGTCTGAACTAGGTGAAAGCTCCTGGAATCATTTGATTCAGGAATAGAACTATACTGTTCCCTAGTAGGGAAACAATAAGGCAAGATTCTCAGTGACTAGCATTTATCATGGTTTCTCTTGTCTAAATAAAGAGCAGATCCTCTCTATCCACTTGAAAAATAAAAATGAAACCAAGATGTCTGCATCATGGCTCAGCGCCTATAGCTCAACCGGCTAAGGCGCCAGCCACGTACACCTAAGGTGGCGGGTTTGAATCCCCAGCCCGGACCCGCCAAACAACAATGA